AAACTCCGCAATTGCGGTTTTTGCTTTGCCTGTGACGAGCGTTTTTAAAGATGTCAGTTTCGTATCATCGGTGAGAACAGCGGAATTAACGGTGGACTTATACTGACCAAACCATTCGTGCCAGTTTAACGGGTTGCCGTCAAACTGGGCTAACTTCCATTCAGGAAGATGATCTTTGCGGCTATGCATCAAAAATTCCGCCAATTCACGAGCGGAGAGAGGTCAATCCGATGAACAACCTTGGTTCGGATAAGCGGAAGACGGTGCGTAGTCTTCGTTGTCTGGCTGATATCCAGTATTAGTATGATTGACAAAATTGGAACATGTTGTGACTGAACTGGGGGAGTATTAAAATACACAGTCCCACCACTAGTATACGGAGCGGCGGTGTTACACGATGGGACAACAGTTGTCACCTTAGAAAAAAACGTTTCCAGCATTACAACTTTGAGCAGGCGTGACGATTGGAGTTGTAGCTGCCAATCGCCATAAGTTTGCATCACTTGTGTAGTAATCGTTGATATTAGGTGACACAGTATGCGGAACAAAGGGAAGATTATGTTGCGTCTGGACTGGCGCTGCATGGCAATTAGGTGCCGAAAAGAAAACCGGCGTTGGGTTTACTCCAGAAGATGAGAAGCCACCACCAGCAAATGCAGGTGACAAAGAAACAAAACCAGAACCGGGTTGTGCCGGTAACATTGGAACAGGTAATGATTCCGGTTGCGCAATGGCAAAACTACCATTAGTTATGTTTGAACTCATGGTCTGTAAAAGAACACCAGACGGTGGTGGTAACACGTGTGCACTAGAATGCGTATTGTTAACTGGGAATGGAACAGAAGCTTGCAATGGCAAAAGGCTTGCACTCCCAAATTGAAGCATAGCCCGATGTCCATAACTATGGATTCCAGGGTCACTCAATGCTGTGTGCTCATGGTTATGACTATTATTGGTGTGAATTGCATGAGCGAGGATGGCGGAAGTCGTCGGTCCTGACGAAATGGGTACAGGAGTGAAGGCCTGCAAACCTGTCGCACTAGCAACGTCGGGAGGTGCTTGTGAACTAACAGAGTCTACCCAATCATTAGTTCGATCGGTTGCTACTTTTGAAATAGGTTGACTTACTCCTGTCGAGTTACTTTCCGCTACCTTCTCGCTAACCTCAGATGAAGTGTCCTCAAGCTCAAACGCTTTCAGTTCCATTTCAATTAGTTGCTTTTTATGACTTTCAGCCAATTGCTCTAGCTCCAGCTGACTTTGTTCGATTTTAAGACGGTTCTCTTGCTCTTTAAGTCTTAAAGATACTTGATACTGCCTTTCCAGCTCCTCATGGCGTCATTTTACTAAAGCTAATTCATGCCATTTCTCACTTGATGACATAGTGCGAACAGTCGACGTATGACGAGTGGAAGCAGATTTATCAGACTTATGTGAGTCAAGCTTTCTACTATCCTTAGACTTATTAGAGACTTTAGACCTTTTTTCAGATACTCGTGCTTCTGAATCTCTTGTTTTGTGTGAGCGTGAGGATGTCTCAGATTTAGTTTGTTGTAAAGATCCCTTGCTCTCTGTAATGCCGGCTGCTGAAAATGACGAAGGTTCAAGGTTCATCTTGTAACTCTGAGCTTCGTGCATTACTTTATAGTTCATTTCGGTTACTTTCTTAAGCCAAAGGTCTTGCTGAGCAAAATTTTTTTCAGGGTTTTCCGTTTTTCCCGCTAACCTAATTAATTGCTCATTGACGTCGACAGCTTTTTCCAACGCAATTTTACATTTGTAAACAGCATTATCAATTTTTGTGGTGCGACTATTATTCTCAATGTACTCAAGTAATAATGAGTGACCTTTAAGCAGCTCATTTTCAAGATTTAGACGGGTTTCAAATAACTTGCGTATCTTACTTTGGAATTTTTCGCCCATGTTTTTCACAAATTGACAATATTCTACAGATGCTCACCTATAGAAAACAATCAATAAAATGAGATACTGTTTTGGTACATAATTAAATTTGCATTAGTAAATCAACATTAGGTTACAAGACGGGGGAACTTGACGTCTCAAAGCGTCTGCCTGAAGCCTATTTTTTAGAGCTTTCCGAGCTTTGAGGGGTAAGCGGTTCCGCTTCTTACGTGTCTTAAGGATGTTAAGATTAGCGCTATAACGCCTTAGAAGGAGGAGAGTCTTTAACTCAAGGGAAGGAGGCTGGTGAAGCTCTTTGTACTTCTCAATTAGTACCTGGTCCTTAGCCTTACGCTTAGAGATAAAATCTTTAACGACGTTCAGAACGAGAATACCTGTCGAAACTTTCCTCTATATCCTCGGTTCAGTTCCGTCTACAGTATACGATCGCACAAATGTTTGTCCTATACCTTAATAATAAAGTGACAAGTTGCTCACTACTCAGCTTGCGGTTATTGTTGCGGCGGTGCCTACTTATCGAGTTATTAATGGCGTCGTGCCAAATTACAAGGTCTTTACGGTGCGGCAAGTAGTGATGAAGGTAGTACTGTATTGTTTTCTGAGAGTCCCTAGCGTTAAAGTTCAAACTTAAACCTGGCTTCGTAAAGCAAGTATCTTTGACGCGCTTCTGGGACGGAGCGGGAAGTTTTCGGAGCGCGTGATCCAAACAACTAGCTCCTAGAATGAATACCATACACTTAGGGGACCTATGCGACGGCTTCGTTACGCTTAAGTACCAATGGGGTTGGAAAATTAGGTAGGTCGGTTGAACTCCAACAACACACACGGAGTAAACCTGCGGATGAAAGAATTCAACTTAACTCACTTAATATCCCCGTACCTGACCACTCAACTTTACTGTCACGCAACGAAGTCAATAATCGGACGGGCTGAAACGGCCTTGTTTTATTTGAAGCGAACTGGCTTTCAATTTCACCAATGGTGGGTGGGGGATCAGGCAAATTGGTTAAGTTCCAACAAAACACGCAAAAGAAACCTGAGGATGAAAAAACTCAACTTAATTTACCTGATATTTCGCTACCAGACCACTTAACATGAGGTTGGTGTCATCTCACAGCACAGTTTCGCGGAATTCTGGAGACGTTTTGAGGATTTTTTGTCAACTTTTTACTTTTTTCACAAAACTTTTCAGAACATTTTGGTCAGCAGGTTCGAGTCATAAACCAATCCAAAAACAAAAAACTAGTCCAGTACCTCTTTATTATGTTCCAATTTCACTGATTAATATTCCGTTCACATACATCCAAAAATTTTTGGTATCGAGAAAAAATGTCAAGTCAGTTTGTCTTTGTACCGACTGTAAGATATTTCAGTTCAACGGAACTGTCCAAAAGTTTTGGGTATTGAGAAGAATTACCTGGGGCTAGCTTGCGGGAAAATTTCTAGCATATATGACATTGTATATAAATTTAAAGCACGAATGGTGAGTTTCAAAAGTTTTGGAAACGTCTTACAGTTTTTAATTGGAGATTGGCGACACCGGTTTCGGATTATCAAACCATCGATCTGCAACACAGGATCTGCCAACTCGTCCAGCTGGACACTTCGGCCAAATAAATCACTCGTCGTGTCTCTCGTGTTGCTGATACGGTGTCCCCTGTCGACCAGAAGGCTTGGATACTCCAATTGGCGATAACAGATCCCTAGATTCCTTAACTGGGCCCTCGAGAAAACTGGACCCTCGGGACAATTGATACACTCGAGTCCCTTGTCGACCAGAAGGCTGGGATACTCCAACTGACGATAATAGATCCCTAGATTATTTAACTGGGCACTCGAGACAACTGAACCCTCGGGACGATTGATACACTCGGGTCCCTTGTGGACCAGAAGGCTGGGATAATAGACCTGAAGGTTTGCTGGAATACTCGATTGGCCTGAAGGAATGCTCGGCTGGAATACTCGACTGGACCTGAAGGTTTGCTAGAATACTCGACTGGCCTGAAGGAATACTCGGCTGGAATACTCGACTGGACCTGAAGGTTTGCTAGAATACTCGAAGGTCCCTTGTGGGGCGCCAAAATGTGCGCTCTAATCTCCAAAACTGTATAAAACGGCTCGGCAAATAATTGTTTTAACTCGTAGTATTCTCGGCAAAACATACATTCATCGTCATTAATTTAAAAGCCAACATTTCACACAACTCACTTTCATAATTTTAACAATCCACAGTTTCAATGAACAAATTGGTGCAAGCTAGCCACACGAACCGGTCGGTAATGTCCTTGAGACAAATTGCTCTTTTTGGCGGTCAGTCTTAATCAAGGCTGAACCGAATTAGAACCAAAAAACAGTTAAAATAGGATTAATACATTTAGTATATTAATACATTGACAGGTCGGGGACTCGAACCTACGTCGACGGAAATGTAACGTTACTTTGACTTAGTCCGCTTGTCCAACTGTGCTTATTTTATATGCATCTATACTCTTGTTTTATTCTATAATCTTGTACATTTGCATTGCAACATTTCGACTTTTTAACTAGCCATTAATTTTTTTTTCATTTTTTTTTATTTCATTGAAATTTTCTAATGTTATTACTGCTCCATAAAGCTTAAAAGGCTGTCGGAACATTCAGGGCTTCGCCCTGATACGAGCAGTCTTGTTTGCCTTTGTATCCACTAGAATATGTAACCATTTTTCTTCTTTCTTACTACATTTGGAGTGACATCCTGCGTACTGATTTGGTGAATGCTGCTCGCATCTTTCCTATGGCCAGGTAGCATGGAGCCTTCGCCATGGCCCCGATTGAACCCGCCACTTGAGCCAGCCCCACCTCCATTTGACTGACGCCCTCATTCTGAGTAAAGATCGATTTGTTGCCATTTATAAGATATAGTCAATATTTGCTAATTCATTGCTACTATAGTCAGGACAGCTCAATTAAAATCATGAAGCAGTGGCTGCACTACAATATTTTTTTTTCGTTGAATTAAAAAAAATCAAAGAGTTTTAGTGTTCCTTGAAATTAAAGTTAAATTGTGTATCGTTTGCTCGGTAATGATTGGTAGTTTTTTAAATGGCAACAACCGATCGCGCCACGAGAAATATTGCGTATTGGATGAGAGAGAAGATGGTGAAAATCACACAATGCAGTGTCAGTGCTATATTCACCTAAGCAGAAAACAGTCAAAAGAGAAAACTTTCAAAAATACCCTTGGTTGGGATGTAAACATAGATTATTGCGAGAAAAAAAAACAGTTTTTTTTTGTAAAAAATCAAATGAACAGTAATTAGGAGAACATTGGAATTCTTTAGCTAATACTATACTCGAATTTATTAACTAATCAGCTGGCTCGAATTCGAAAGAATACAATTTACAGCCTCCTTTGATTCCTCTACATATTCGCAAATTTTATTTTGCTTCAGTGGTTCATGGAATAACTAATTGAATTTTTAATATTTCACAAACTCTCTGTTGTAGGTGGGATATAGTTATTACTTTTCCGGAAGGTGATCTGGATTAAGTCCGTGACCCTAACATCCTTTTTCAATAAAAGCGAAAAGTTATCTTCCAACCCAACGTGTTAATCGGCTATGCATTGTCTTGTTCCCATGGTTTGTTCAAATGCTGATGAAAGAACCTGATGATCACCCGGCCTCAAATTGTTAGTTTTTGAAATCTTCTATCCCGCAAAACACCACATGATTTGGGCTCGTACGCAAAATGTTTTTTTTTCGTGGGTGGATTCAAATCTTGAGTGTAGCCCTACCTTTCTCTTATAACTGTTGGCGTTGCACTCAGTATGTTATGTGATGCGTCGGTTTTCAGGCACGACTTTTCTTCCACATCAAAACTGCTTTACTAGGTGATTTTTATCATTTTGAGTTTCATTTCATCGAATGCCACCAAGTTTGTTTCGTTCCAAGCGTAAACGTGTTCAAAAGAAGTCTTAAAGGGGAGTTGAGTGCTGAGAGTTGTATGATGATAACGATGTAGTACCGAACCGAAAAATGATCTTCAATTATAGATGTTTTTTTTAGGTTTCGGTAGGTTTGGTATTGTTTTTCACCTACAGTTTTACATACGAATTTGAACTTAAATGCCCAACAAGTCAATAATTTCGGAATGAACTTTTCCTTTTCACAGCACATAATTTTTCGCAATAATCTACAATTTGAAAAAGATTTCCTTTTAAATTTCTACAATTTCTTTAGAGGTCATTAAATTATCATCAATTAATTTTAAAAAATTGCTCTCTAAATGTGATTCCAATACTCCCAGTCATTTCTTTCATTCCGCATGCCACCCAGCCTCTAGTTTTTAATTAAAAACCGAAAAGTACCGTTGGTTTCGCCGCGAACTATGCTGGAGTTACACTGTTCGGTTGTGGCCCTTCATTATTGCAAATAGCAATTGACGTTTCTCAAATTGAGGTAACTAAATCATAATTTGCTATAAGTTAAACTGGAAATATTTCACAGTATTCAAGTAGACAAAATAATAACTATAGAACCAGTACGCCTAAACATCAATGACTGAAAAATCAGGTACAAGCTACAGTTGAAACAACTTCAGACCCACCGCGATTAGAAAATAGAGAAACTTCAGAAAAGTAATGGAGTCATATATACTGTGAAAGCACAGATGAATAAAGTGAAAACGAGATTACAACATTTATTTAGAACTCCAATTTCAACAAACCTAACATTGACCAAACAATCGAAACAAATTAAACCCACATATTTTTGACAATCGTTCCAATACGAATAAAACATACCGGAATACAACCAAAAACACCTCGCCTAGAGACAATCCCCCTTCTTTTAGAGAGCCCGAAAAAAACTCAATCACCAGACCTTGAACTGGAATTTTATATAAATTCATGAGCAGAATCCAATACTATTAATCTTAATACATGGAACGAAATTCATTTATGAAACCCCAAAAATCCGGTTTCACATTTCTATTCAAATTAGCTACAGCACAAGGCACAAACTTCAAAAATTATGAAAAAACTCAATTATCTGTCATACCAGGACAATGAGAGATAACAAGGAAAATGGAACAAAAATAAACTTCTATTAAAACCGCTTAAGCAAAAATTTCACATCACACATACTAAATACGATATTATAGGTATACCTTTCATTACTAAGCGCATGCCAACGATTAATCTTCTGAATACTTACAAATCTAAGAGAAGTACACAAGAAAAATTAATACATATCTAACATTTTTTCAACGACCTAATAAACATAATCCAATCTTTTCAAAAAATTACCCTATATATAATCAATTACAAAAACACTTCAAATCATTAACTGTCAATGCGAATTGTTTTTCGATCAACCAAATTTACCAATAGAATAATGATCAAAACACGCAACACTTATACATGTCTGTCCCTGAATACAGTTGAACCCACAAGTTTTTTAGTATAACAACCTCATAAATTAAATATGCAAAAGCACCAAAACAGACGTAATTATAGGACATATATACAACAACTCACCGTACAATATCACTTTTCCCTAGGATAACTCGGATGTCCAACATTACGACCAACTCACGAAAGAGCATTAAGGGTAAAGAATATTTTGAAATTATTAACAATCTACATTATTAAACGAAGAATTATCAATTAACACTATCATTTAAGAACTAAAACGAAATATCGATTTTTTCACAAAAATTCTTTAAAATAAACCCTCATTTCAATTATCAAATTAACAATAGAACAGCAACAATTTTTAAGAATGTTTAAAACACAACACTCTCAAATAAATCAAAAAGATTTTGAGCGACTAGCAGATTTATTTTCAAATACCCCAAATACAGTAGATATGATTAGCTCATATAATCAAAAGCCTCTAGATGAAAAACCATGTCATTTAACAAAGTTCATTATTGAAAACTAACAATACGAAGTTAATAAATTTTTCAATGGCATCTCCAAAGGATCAGCAGATTTTTCTACCTTCAAGAAAAAACAACTTCGACCAGTAACCCTGAGTAAAATTGTAATCACATACTTCGACGATGTTTTCACAAACAAAACAAAAAATGTTCAAAGTTTTTGACAAATATCATCAATTTTTTTTTAAAAAACATGTGGAAAAAGCTGCAGAGAAATCATGTTTCTTTCTCATTTCCGTTCAAGGACATATCAATAAAGGTTAAACAATTATACCTCTAAACTCACACACAAACCTGATTCAAGACTTCAACCATCAATTAATAAAAAGAAAATACCAGAATTGCTTGGAAAGTTAAGTTTCTTAAGCAAATCGGTTTATAAAATGCAACTCTGTCTTAGACCATATAACAACATACCACGTCAACAAAGTAATATCAAATGGACACAGGAACATTAAAAAGTTTCCACGAAAATAAAAAATCTATCAGCGATTAAGTCTCAAATACTGTCCCAGACCCAAACCAACCTGCTTAAGCAATGAGCGAGGCATCAAAGTTTGGAGTAAGCGTTGCCTTTTTACAATTACATAAATGAACAAACAAAATGAATTTATTATCAGCAAACTTAAAACTTTTTACACAAGCAGAATGACAATACATTTGAACCCATAAAATGTTCTTCATGGATAAAAAACAATACTCAGCTATTAACACAAAAACAAGTTTGATAAAAAATCTTTGCTTTACAAAAATTTACAAGGACATTGCCGACCAACAAAACACTCAATTTGCTAAAATTTACCTTTTCATACTAATGATGAATATAATTTTTATCATCCACAAAATTTAAAATTAGCATCCGTTACTCACATGAAATGGATATTAAACAGAGACAAAAAACAAAATGAATTAACAAAAAATCGCGAAGTAAATATTTCGAGATAAAACATTTAATCTCAAAACAATCCACGCTTTACCACAGCTTCAGGTAATAAAATTGAAGCGTTTGTTTTTATTCCATATTTACAATAGAAAAAGAAAATTCAAAGAAAATACAACCCAGGAGAAAACGACCATATCAAATTACTGATAAACATACAGATGTAACATACGAACTAATTGACCAAAATAAAAAAGAAATTACAGTACCCAGAAATAACATCCTACCATTTTATTCAAAAAAATGCACTTCGCAAGCTAACACAAAAGGACTCATTTACTGGACTCCACATTGCTGAAACGTCTCAAGAAAACAATGATCATAAAATACCTGACATTCCCAATCTGTTACCGCAATCATTCAAAAAAAAAGAAAAATATCTCATAAAAACACTCTATAGACACCACTACTACACAAAGAAGAAATAAAAATAGAAATTTGTACGACAAAAACTCAATACCCGCAAAAAAGTTACAACAACGTCAATCATCTCGACTCCGAATTCAACCAAAAAAAGATTTTAACATTTTTATCCCTCAACCCTAAGTATTTGAAAAGTTAGAGTGTTAACAACCACTAATTATTTATTGTCTTCTTCAAACACATTTAAAAAATTAGACAAAATCACAATTATAAAAAAATTGGTTAAGTGCTAGTTTCAAACTTCTAAAATAAATACTTAGTATTTCCATTTCTAACAAATAGTATCGAAAAACTAACCAGCCAACTTCTTCAAAAAAATCCTATTCCTTGCTGGACATCACTGCTATTATTACCCCTCCTATCAATCATTACAAAAATCAACAATTTTGTATAAAATCAGACCCCAAAAACCACCAAAAGACAAAAAATAGAAAAAAGAAAACACCTACAGCAAAAAAGTCTTAAGATCAAAGAGCCTAAAGTTAACCTACCCCAACAAAACGCCTGATCATCAAATAAATAAAACAAGAATTAGCAACCTTATATCTAAATCTCCAGATTTTGTATCACCAAAACTCCTCCATACACAACCCACTCGCCAAAAACTAAGAAATCAATCCGACCGCACTCGATACAATTTTGAAAAATTATAAAATCTTTAGGAAATGCAAATCACTTTCTGAATGCTCTTTTTGAGGTCAGCTGTTCAACCTTTCAAATTCATACAAATCTTACCAAACGTTTTAAGCTTTTGCTTTTTTCGATTCAGCGACTTTTTAGATAATTATAATCATTTCCATAGTTTTATGTGTTCAGTTTGCAAATTTACAATTTATACTTACAACACATTTCTTTCTCCCATATCATCGACAACCTAACCAGGAATAATAA